TATATATATATATCATTTGCTCTGGCCGTTAAATATTCTGAATGAGGTTTTCCAGCTGTCTGAGTGTTCAAACAAAGTTTTGCTCCCTCACTTTGTTTACAGATGATTCTGCAAAGCGACACAGGACAGCAGCCCTGATGAGAGCTTTGTGATTCCTGCATGCAGAATAATACACACTTCATTCAACACGGAGCCAAAACCAGCAAATATAGAATCAACAGATTTTTCATGCAATTACTAACAATAATCACAGTAAACTTTAATTATTGTTCYAAGAAACTTTGTTAAAAGAGAAGGATGGAGTTTCCTCTCTGTCCTTTTATGATCCTCATCCAGCTTTACACAAAAAGATGCACATTCTGTTGTCATTTATATCTATTTTGGAATTTATTATAAAAATAATAATAGTTGCTATTGTTTATTGTTATTTTTGATTTAATTCATTTAATTGATTTAATTGGTTTAATTGAAGGGCGATGAGCAGTTTCACACCGCAACATTTGATTTTAGCTAGACACGTTTGAAATAGATTATTTTTTTAAACTTTAAGATAAAAATTATTGCCTTACGTTTTTTTTTTCATGAAAAAACATTTCATTTAAATTTGTTGATGAAAAAAGTATACAGCTAAGGCTTGATTTTATTTTATCCATGCGAAAGTTATTTTTTACATTTGTTAGAAACAGCCTTTTTTAACTTTTCATCAGTATTATATTAAAAACAGGGACATGATTCAAATGGGTAATTTTTATGTTGCTGGAGAGTCGGGGGAAACATTTTTTAAACAAAATGTGACAACAAGCCCAAATAACGTCTGGCTTTATTTTTCCTGATGTTAAAACATGTCATCATCACTCAGACTGTTGAGTCATCATCGCTTTAAAAATAAAACGTTTTATTCCAACCACACCTTCGAATGACAGCAAGACATTTTGTCTGAGARTTTTTGTTTTTCATTAAGCAGACAGTCTGATTCTTCAGAAACAGAAATKAACTCTTTGAAAAGAGCACTTTGATCAGTTGCTCAGTTCTGTAACTTGCTGTAAATATTATTTTTCTGAGGAAAAGAGCTTCACACATTAGATATGGGCAACATAAACGCTGTTGTCTCTCAGCAGGAAGGTCCTGGGTTCAAATCCCCTTGTGGGACTCATGGGGTCTAGGTTCTTCTCCCGGTTTTGTAGGTTTCAGAACTTTTCTGTTTATAGGCTGCCTTCAGGCCCAAAGTGATCTCAGAGAGATTTGCAACATTACATAAAAATAAATGTTATTTTCTCAGTGACATAAAATCGTCTTTTCCTTTTATTCTTTAAGCCCTTGTTTGTTTAATTTTATAGCCAGACAAAGTAATTTAACTAATTTTACAAAACAGCAGAAACTGTAAGCTGCCCCTGAAGAGGCTGAGATTGTTTAGCATTATTTGATTTTTTTTGTTTTGTTTTTTATAGGAAATTCCTTGCAGCGAATATTTGGATGCAAAAATGAAGCGTGTGTTTGAATGAAACAACAGAGTACAACAAATCCTTGTGCCAACAACATGATACTTTTATTATTATAAATTCATTTTCTGACTTGTAATTTGAAACAAATTCAGTTTTACTCAGAACGGATGAGCTGATAGCCGTTTCCTGTCCTGAGAATATTTTTATTTTTGGTATRTGGTGTAAAGTTGGAGCTACAGGAGGAAATGAACGCTGCAGTGGTTTCTGATGAGTTCAGTATTAAATGCTATTAGAGGATAGCAGTGTAGCACTCATCCCATTGAGTGAGTGAAGATAAAGTGGTTTTGTTGTGGAGTTCAGGGTTAACGTAATCGATACAGACAAGAAGATCCAAACACTGCAGGAGGGAGCTGCCCTTCCCATGCTCTGCTTACAGGAAGGARCAGAAAGCTTTCAGATTACATGGGCTCATTGTAAAAATAAAGGAAAAATGCCATTAAACAAACGTTTATATTCGGCTGCGAGTATACATAGGATTTCTTCTACTGCAAGTTTTATTCAGATGTTGACCTGAATTCATAGTTTGAAGATGTATTTATCTTTTTGTTGAGACAACATGGTGTGAATTGGGCCTTTATAAAAAAAAAACACTGATCCAAATTTTCAGAGCTGATAAAGTGAAATCAGAATCAGTGGTGCTTTAATGTGTTTCTTCTTTGGAACCGTTATATATAAAATCTCAGCCATTTCAATTTGAAATTAATTAATTAATTAATGAAACTTGTCCAGTCAAACTTTACCAACATTGCTTTAATGGAATGTTTTGAAACGTTCATCCGTTTTGTCTTCCATCTGGATTTATATAATGTACATAATTTATAGTTTCTCCATTATTATTATTATTATTATTATTATTATTATTATTAGTATTATTATTATTATTATTATATAGTTTTCCCAGTTTTCTAAAAGTGTTCAGGACTCTATACTGCACACAGTTTGACAGGTGTTCAAAACATTTACGAACCTTGAAAAATTAAAAATCAAMAGATGAATGYATACKGTGTTCTAAAAATAAATCTATTTCCTCATCTAATTGATGACATTTAAAAACATTAAACTAAAAATATCTCATTATTGGCTATTTTATCATGTTTTATTAAATGATATAAGTTAGTGTTTCTCTGTGCGTCTCCTCAGTCAGAGAGAAAGCAGCGCTGAAAATGAGTTATCCTGGGATCAACACAGACTGCTGCAGCAAGCTGAAGGAGCCGGGCAGCAGCAGCTTACAGGGGGACTCCATCGCCGACTCCATCGACTTATCAGGGAAAAACAAGAAGCGGCGCAACCGCACCACCTTTAGCACCTTTCAGCTGGAGGAGCTGGAGAAGGTTTTCCAGAAGACACATTACCCCGACGTGTACGCCCGAGAGCAGCTGGCTCTGAGGACGGAGCTCACCGAGGCTCGGGTTCAGGTGGGTTTCAGGGAAATCACATTAGACTTTTCTTTTGTTTCTGCAGAATTAAAACGACTTCAAATGTTTTCTTACAAACCAAATTCCAAAAGAGTTGGGATATTATTTAAAATGTAAATAATTTTTAAGTTTCATCAATCCATGTTTTGCACGTTTTAAATGAACAGAGAAAAAGTGGGAAACTGTTTTGTGGTCAGACGAATTGAAATTTAGACATTCTTTTTGGAAACCACCTCATCCTACAGAGAAGGACCATCCTGCTTGTTATCAGTACACATTTCAAAAGGCTGCCTCTCTGATGGTATGGGGATGCACTAGTGCTTTTGACATGGGCAGCTTACATGTTTGGAAAGACGTCATCAATGCAGAAAAGTGCATGCAGGTTTTGATGTAACATAAGAACCCATCCAACAAAGAAGACTCAGTACAGCTAGAATCCAAAGAATGAGACAAAACCCCCGTCTTAAAACTCCAGCAGCTGCTCTCCTCAGTTCCTGCATATTTACTGTTAAGAAGAGGGTATGTTTCACTGTGGTAATGTCCCGTCTGTTTGAGACGTGTTGCTGCCATCAACCGCAAAATCATCCCAATTTTTCTTTGTCAAAAAAGTGACATGTCTTGTTGTGAACAAAATGTGAGTTACATATCATCACATTCTGTCTGAATTGACATTTCTCACAATTCCCCTACATATTTTTTGGATTGGAGTTGTATTTTAATGTGCTGTCCTGTATTTTAAAGGTTTGGTTCCAGAACCGCAGGGCCAAGTGGAGGAAACAGGAGCGCTATGGAAAGATCCAGGAGGTCCGCAACCACTTTGCTGCTTCTTACGATATTTCTCTTCTCCCTCGTCATGATGCGTATCAGGTAGATCTAACACAAAAAATACATCAATCTGACCTTTTTTTTTTTGTTTATTCCCTCACATTCCAAATWTGTCTCCATCCATCCAGATTCAGGGCAACCTGTGGCCCGGTGCCGCCTCAGGGGCAGGGAGCGGATCAGGCGCCGGCTGCGTCCTCGGAGCTGACTCCATTCCCTCGTCGTGCATGAGTCCATACTCTCACCCCCACAGCAACCTGCAGGGCTTCATGGGCATGCCCACCTCCCCCAGCCACCCACACCACCACCACCACCCACCTCACCACCCCAGCATCAACGGCCTCTACTCGCTCCACGGCTTCCCAGGAGGCCTCGGACCCCCTTCCATCGAGGGGCCGGAGGCCGACTACAAACCGACAGGCCTGGTGGCACTGAGGATGAAAACCAAAGAGCCGGGCGGTATCATCTCCTGGCCCACATGACCTCCACTGTAGCTGCTCCTCATTAATGCACCGACTGAGCCACAGTTCTGGACCCAGATGTTCCCGCCCCACATCAGCAGACCCCTCCAATATGAGCTCTTTACATTTATCCAAACCAACATGGAGGTTTTTAACAGAACGTTTTTTCATCCTTAAAGAACAGTGGGGCAATTTGAGCATCTTTCTCATAAGTGAACTTTTTATTAACTTTCTCGTTTACAACTTTTTMTTACGTTCATACAGCAACAGCAAAAAAAGGGAAATTATTTAAGCATGTCAAGAATGTAATTTTCATATTAATCCTAGTTTCATGTTTGTTTTTATTTACAGTGGGACCAGTAATAAAGGCTTTCATTTATGTCAGCTGTCTAATTTTAGGAAAGGACAGTTTAAGAGAAACAGAAAACAATGTCAGCTGGAATTATTTTAGCCTTGACTTGACTCTTTCGGGGGGGAAAAAAAAGAAAGAAAAAAAAGGAAAAAGGTCTGTGTTTTTCATTTTGTTAGTGGGAATGCGGTTGTGAAGCAGAAATTTCTTGCAGGCTGTGGTCGTCATAAACACAAAGATGTCTGCTGTGCAGGAAGGGAACAAAAAAAAGACGGTGCATGTGCAGTCGGCTCAGTTTAACTCCAGAAGGCACGTTCGGTTTGGGTTCATTAGAGGATAAAAAGAGCAAATTATTAATTTATAACTGATAATACTGGCAATGTCTGGGAGTTTGATTTGGTGCAGAACGTATTGTTTGCAGCCAGGTCATCTGCTTCTTATAAATGCAAAGGTTTTTTTTTTCAGCATTAATAATGAATACAACATACATGTATTTTTAGCCTCACAGGAGCTTCCTGTTGTGTTTCAATCCCAAACAATTTACTGTCAAGACCCATCTCATCTGGTGTAAATTACTAAAYACCAAGACATGTATGTTGAGTGGACGAACATGGCTGTTTTTAAACTATTAGTCAAAAACTTCTCAGTAATGTCTCTTTGAGAGAAATAATGTAGCTACCTTGTTTTTCTTTTTTAAACTTGCTGCACATCATGACAGCAACGCTCAAGGCAGATTAGCTGCCTTTCCCTYGCTCCGTCCCGGGTTCTGCAGGGCCACAAACATGTGGTTTCAATAGAAGAACGCAAAAACCCATCAGAAACACTTTCCACACCCACAGCTTCAAATTCCAGCCAGGCCCTGGGAGATGGCAGCGCTCTGCAGCTCCGGTCCTCTGTGATTAAATCCCAGATTAAGTGGAAGAGATAAAGAGGAGCTGTCAGGAGGGATGAGGGACTGAGGAGACGGCCATCTTTATGAAAGCTGAAGAAACAGCAGCTGCTGTTTTAGGATTTTTGATTTTTGTTAAATCCTAAATGCCATGATAAAAAAATGGATGATTATATTTGCACAAAAAACACTGAGGATATACTGAAGTCGTATTAAACAACTATAAATTTTCAAGGAGTTCTTTTATTAAAAACAAAAACTTTCAGCTGTAACGCAGACTTTGATCAGTGCTGTATCAATATAACAACCACTACTTGTCAAAAACAGGAGGGTAAGAAAAAGTCATGTTAGGAGAACACAATGCTGGAGGCAGTTATTTACAAAGCATCACGTTTTATGTCAGGGTCATTATATGAGGACTGTCGTGAGACTGTAGAAGATACTAAATCATTGAGCCCAATTATTGGACTGAGCGTAAGATTTAATGCTCATTACGGTTTGTAAAGTTGCCTGCAGACCACTGCTCTGAGCTTTGATCTCACCAGGATTTATCCTCGGCTCAATGTGCAGCGTTGGCAACCCAGCGGATACTTGTATTCGACATCTCTCATAAAGCGAAATAATTTGCTACAGCAGAGTGTGTTTAGCTCCAAAACAGGAGTAAACAGTGAGCTCATGTTCTGTAAAGTCTGGTCYGTGCAGTTCATTGAGATGAATGTAGCAGCACAGAAAAAATGTAAAGCAGATAAAAAATGCAGCCTTAAAGAGTAACTAAACCCAAGATCAATGTTTTTGTAGATAAACTGTCTAAATTGTGCCTTAAGGTTATTATCTTTATATTTCTGTTCAAATTTTGACATTTTCATGTAAATTTAATTCTGCAGGTTGAACAGTGGCTACTGCAGTTTAAATTTCCTATTGGTGAAAACGATACATGCCTACGTGTGTGTGTGTGTGTGTGTGTGTGTGTGTGTGTGTGTGTGTGTGTGTGTGTGTGTGT